ATAATAATAATAATAATAATAATAATAATAATAATAATAATAATAATAATAATAAGCTTGTCGTCCTGATTGTTGGCGTCCTTGGAGGGATGAAACAGTCTTTTGTATCCTCACTTGCCAGAGTTCCAGCTTGCTCATCAAAAGCTGAGTTCTTGGCAGTCAGGATGCAGAAGGCTGTGATACTAGGTTCCCTCCGTCTACTTAGGAAAATGACTTTGGCCTGCTGTGATCACTAACCGCCTTGTTGTGCGGAGTGGTCCAGCAGTAATGGATGGAGCTCAGGCTGGGCCCTCGGAGAGTCGGACTCCGGGGACAACGCCCCTGAGCATTTAATAACATAACAATAATAATAATAATAATAAGGAAATATTCGTCCAGCAAAAAGTATCTTAATACCTACAAATCAAATTTCATTTTCTGTGACAGAAAAACGTTCAGAAATTCGACAGCTTCTAGTTAACGTGCCAGAAGAAGGACGTATTACATGGTATTGGTGCGTTGTATTGGCATTTTGTACTCCAGAATTGTTGGCTATTATTGGAGCAATCTACGATTGCTTATTTAAAAAAAAGAAATTACCTCTCATTACTGATATAATCATCATATGTATAACAGATGGGATCCATTCAGCAGCTATGGCAGTTTTTTTTCTAGTAATTTTACCAAAATTAAATTCAATATTGGCTCTTTCCGTTAGTAGTTTTATCCACTTGATACCATCATTACTAGGTAAAAGATAATAAATAAAGTTGGTTTAACCTATTTTATTTCGGTAGAGGCTACAGATTTTTGTCGGTATAAATGTTACCGATTTTATTTAATAGAAACGTGCCAGTAAACCTCTTTACGTAATTATGATATTAAGTGACTCATGGTTTATTCCTTCCTGACGTCAGACTGAGATATAACATATATGACGTAATTATGGGATAAGTGTGATGTTTTCTCTGTGACAGTTATGATGTCAATATAACGTATCTGTGATGTCCACATGATATTTATGGTGTCAGTGCACTGTTAAAAATTTTTGTAAAATTACAATCATATTACAAAACAAATGATATGTAAAATTACAAATCAGTGTATAGCAATGCGAAATAAAATACAATTCATGTAATTTTCCAACACCTGTCAGGAAATCTACTAAGATGTTTTGTTATTTTACAATCTTCTTGTATAAACCTAAAACGCATTGTAATTCTACAGAACCGTTGGTCAATTTTTAAGAACAAGCATTTTAATTTTGCAAACATTATCTGTGATTTGATTTGACATAATTGTATGTAAAATTACAAAAAAATATTGTAATTTATATTACTATAATCTTATAAAAAATTTTAAAAACTTTTTTTTATTTTTACAATTTTCATTGTAAAATGACACAGTGCAATGTAATGTTACCACCAAATTTTTTTTATATATCACGAATTGTAATTGGATGGAATTAAGCAATAACGTCTTAACCAACATTTTTTAAAAAATCGAGTTATTATGATGAACGTACTTAGTATCATAAGATTACTTAGTACATCATAATAACACGATTTTTTTAAAAATGTTGGTTAAGTCTACTTGACTGTTTTTCAATTTTAAAATCAACACTTTTCAGTTTTACAAAAAGGAGACTGATGTATCAAAAAATAACAATGTCCTTCATATTTATTTTTACTAATGTTTAGTCTATGGTTGTTTATTTGCAATAATATATTCAAGGCATCATTTATCTTTTATAAATTATAATATTACGCTCAAACGATCATTTCAAAATCAATATATTTGAATGAGTATATCTTAGACTTTAATTTTTATAATATTCAATGAATTATAAATAATGTAAAAGTTATTTATTTTCCATCAATAAACAGCATAAAATAACACAAATAATGTAAATAATAAATAATAAGCAGTAATGCTCAATCACCACATAGGATTAGCTTATAAGAATAATAAGATGTTGAACTACCTATCGGTCGTATGGCGTAGGGCGTTAGGTATCGGTCTGGCAAGCAAGCGGCTCGCGTTCGATTCTTAGTTAGGGTAAATATTATTTTCACTTTATATCATCTAAGTTGTAATAATTAGGTCTACGTGAGATTCAAAATCTAATCAGCGCTTCATAAAAATAAAATGTTTTTATTTATTTATTTATTAGAATAGACGCCAATCGGCAATGTACATAGATTATTTAATACTTAAGATTATTATTAATGATTTGATGGCTATTGAATTTGTAATAATAATAATTATTGAAATTATTATAATAACAATAATAATAAGTGCTAGCTGGTTGATATTGAATTCTTGACTTTGGAGGTGAAACTTGAGATTGAGTCCATGAAGAAATCGATGTCTGAGCTATATTTATTGACTAGGTTTGATATTCTGTTTTTAGGTCCATGATAGACATAGTTTTTTGATGTTTTCGTGCTACTTAGTAGTCTAGTAGATCTTAAGCCTGATCTAAGTTCAATCAGCTCATATTGATTACGTATTTCTGGAGACTGTATTTCGCCATTGATAGCCTTGTAGAAAAATGTAAGATCTGCAACAATACGACGGTTTTTCAAACTGTCCAGCTTGAACTGATTATATACCTCTTCTGTACTTAAGTGGACATCTTTTGTGTACATAAAGTATGATACAAATTTGCAAAATTTGCGTTGTATTTTTTCAACCTCGTCGACCAGGCCCTGTGTATGAGGTGACGAAATGATGCTGCAGTATTCTAGGATCGGGTGAACCAATGTTTTGAAAAGGTGTATTAACGTATTGGGGTCTTTAAATTCTTTGCCTGATCTAATTATGAATCCCAATATCTTGTACACCTGAGATGTTATTTTGTCAACGTGTTTTACGAAGTTCAGCTTGCTGTCAACAATTATACTTAAGTCTTTCACGAAAGACCCTTCAGTGAGTAGATGATTATTGAGATAGTAGATTGCCTGAGGCTGATTTGAGACTCTAGATAGACTTAGGACCACGCATTTGTTGTTATTCAGGATTAGCTTGTTTAGCACACACCATCTATGAAGCGTGTCGATATCACGTTGGAGAATATTGATGTCCTCTTCGCTGTTAATTTTTCTAAAGATTTTTAAGTCATCTGCATATAACAGATATTCGGATTTAAATTGTTCACCAATATCATTAACAAATATATTAAAGAGGGTTGGTCCAAGATGTGACCCTTGTGGGACACCAGAGATGACCTTGTAACTCTCCGAAATATGACCATTAACTCGGACCTGAAGATGTCTGTCAGATAGATAGGATTTTAGCCACTCTAAAGCCTTGTTTTTGATATTATATCGATCTAGTTTTTTAATTAAGACCTGATGATCTACCATGTCGAATGCTTTTGAAAAATCAGTGTATATAGTGTGAGTAGTTAATCCTTCGTTCATGGCATCTAGGACATGTCCAGTGTATAAGTAAAGGTTCGTGGCTGTTGAATGTCCACTAACGAACCCGTGTTGCTTTGTGGATATGGTATTGTAGAAAGCTATGTTGATTTGCGGTAGCACAATTTTCTCAAAGAGTTTTGCAATAGCTGATTGGATACATACAGGTCTATAGTTGGTTACGTCGCATCTTGGACCTGCTTTATGTATGGGACTGATGAAGGATATCTTCCATGCTGCAGGGAAGACGCCAGATCTAAGTGATATATCGAATAGGTGAGTGATTGGTTCTGCTAATCCAGCAGCACATCTCTTTAATAATATGTTAGGTACTCCATCAGGCCCGGCTTCCTTTCTGTCGTTTAACTTCCTTAGTTGTTTATATACGTCGTCATATGTAACGTGTAGCTCCATCAAATCCGTGTTTTGATTTTTATCCTCGTTTTGGTTAACCGGAGTAGAAGAATCATATGCGTTAACATTGTAAATACTTTTAAAAAAGGACGCAAAGAGGTTACTTACTGCTTTACCGTTGCTAGCTGCTGTTCCATTCCAAGTCATCGTTGATGGTATATCGGCTTGACTTCTTCTTTTGTTCTTCATATATCCCCAGAATTGAGGGACATAAGTTTTTATCTTTAGTTCAGATTTGGTTATATAGGTATCATAACAATCATTAATTAATTTTTTGCAAGCGTTTCTAAGACTCCGGAAAGTTTCATAGTAATGTCTCGATTTGAATTTTTTGTATTTGGAATGAGCTTCTTTTTTTTCCTTGATTTTATTTACTAGTTCTTTAGAAAACCAGTTTGGATAGTTGCTAGTTTTCTTGCTGTATATAGTTACGTATTGTGCTATTCCCTCATTGACCACATTATAAAACCAATTAATTTTATCTTCTATTTTATCCATCATGTATAAGTCAACCCAGTTAATTGATAAAAAGAACCCATTTAGGCCTTGGTAATCAGCATTCCTGAATAAGTAACTAGGTGGGCTGTTTTGTTTCAAATTTGTATGAATATCTATTTTTATATTGAGCGCTGGGTGGAATATGTCTTCATTGGTAAGAGGTTCGGCTTTCTTAACTTTGATATCTGTACTGCTAAAGCACAGATCCAGCATATTGTCATTATTATTTTTAATTATGTTATATTGTTGACAGTTATATAGGATCATCCTGCTATACAGTAGGTTTTCACAGTGTGTTCGTGGTTGACTACTAGACAAATTGTAGTCTCCTATTATGATCAGCTTGCATTTATTATATTTTTCATGTAAGTAAGATATCGTGTTTGTGTGGCTATTGTAGATGTCTAATGGTGATAGAGGTGGTAGATATACGCAACCAATTATGACATCCCCCTCTTTGCACTTGACTTTTACAAAAATTTGCTCAATGTGATCACTATCGGTTTCAATTAATTCAGCTGTGATATTTTTTTTTACAGCTATAAGGACACCTCCTCCTCTTTTCCGTTCACTAGTATTCTTATCCCTATCTTTTCTAAATAAACTATAAATATTGTCAATAACTTCACCGTCAGGAATAGAAGAGTTTAACCATGTTTCGCTAGCACATATTATGTCACCATAAAAACACGCTGAAGAGGTTAAGAATTCCTTAAGTTTAGTTCTTAAACCTCTCGTGTTTTGATAATGTATTATTAAATTAGTTTTCTTTGTATTTTTCCTTGATCGCACGAAAAATTGGTTTATTAACTATCTTAGGCACGCCATTAATGTACTTGATTGTTTCATTAATGTCTTCATTCTCAGCTAACTCATCAAGCTCTGCTCTGAGTGTGCTGAGATGTTGTTGTTGGGCTTGGGTTAAACTAAATTTAAATTTAATGTTGGTCTCCGTAGCTGGCTTTGACTTTATGATTGCTCTTGCTACCTTAGACGACGGTGTATAGAGTAGTACTGGTCTGGTTTTCCCCTGCGTTGGCTTCCCAAGACGACGAAGTTTGATATCAGGTAACAAGTTAGATATGTCCGGTGGGATAAGTGTTTTGATTATCTCCACATCTTCTTGACGTCGGTCTACACCGGGTGGTTTCTTGGACTCTAGTACATTTATAATGATGACTTCCGATTCACGCTTTTTACGCTCATTCAGCTCTGAGATTATTTCATTTTGGTCAGCAGAACCGCTTTTGACAGACACCAGTTGCTTTTCAATATCAGTAATCTTTTTTTCTAATGATTTTTGTTGTTGAGTGAGTTTATTATTTTGCTCCGTAAATTTTTTTAAATCTGCGTGTAATCCTATAACACTATCTTCGAGTTTATCTATTTTCTCCTTGAACGGGGTAATGTATTTGATAAACATTTGTTCAATTTGCTTAATACTTAGTGGCGATTCGTCATCAGTATCATCAATCTCATCTCCTGAGTCAACAATACTAACCTCAAATGAGCAGCGCGAACATTTCCAGCTTGTTTTATTAGTTTTTTTAAAATCAGCGTAGTATTTTTTGAATACACTAACACTTAAGCTACTACAGGATTTATGAAACCATTTTTTGAATTCACTAACACTTAAGCCACTACAAGATTTATGAAACCATTTTTTGCATTCACAGCATCCGATGCAACCTGCATCTACTCTAATTTGTCTATTGCACGCTAAACATGTGTATCTATTCGGCGCCATCTTACTAAAAATGACAACAAATATTGAATCAAATCTTTCTTTATTATTATATCAATTCAAGTAAAATTCAAAGAAAGTATTGTAATTTTACAAACTTAGATAATCTAAAAATATTTGTAAAATTACAAAACTGTTTTGTAAAATTAGTAACCTTACAGAGCTATTATGTTTTATAATATTGCTATACCCGATTGTAATTTTAAATAAATGTTTTGCCTATTAGCTTCCAATACATTTCTTGTAAAATTACAATAGAAATTTTTAACAGTGTATGACATACAAATGCACTCTTCATCATGATGTCTAAATTGTGACTTTTTGAAAATAAAATATTTTTGAAAATGAAAAAATAATCTTATATGAAAATTTAAAAACTGAATTCTCGAAATTCAATATCACGTTGGGGACTCATTACAAATTCGAAAACGAATATTTATAGTTATCCTTATATACACATATATATATTAGGGTGGTCGTTAAAAATTAAATTTTTTGCGGCGCCCAAAAAAATCCTACCTTAGGAAGAGAAACTACGGGAAAAATTTTGCTTTTTGATTTTAAACAAAAAGAACACGTGCCGACGGGCAATTGAAGATTTTTCGATAAGATTATAGTTTTTTGAAATATTTGTTACGGTATTTAAATTTGGACAAAAAATCATTAAAAAAAAGCTTGTAGGAATTTAAATTCTCTAGAAAAGGTTTCTTTCGGTTTTAGATAAAGTTCATATCTATCGAGATAATCTTATTAATAAACTCATAAACTCCATTAAGTCAGTCATTTTAGCACTAAAAACTTTATTTTTCCAGAAATATGAACAATTTTATAACTTCAATTCACAATAAGTTATTTAAATAGGTCTCGTAAATGATAACAAAGTTATATTTGATAATATTTCCTTATTTTCAAAACGGAAATGTGCAAATTTATTTCTCATAAACTGATTTATCAATTCCAAGGTTTGAGTAAGCTTCCTCTTGTATTTTTTATTTTTCGAGCTCTGTAATCATCCAAAATTTGAATAATAAACTGCTTCTGATCTTCATCTTTCGTGAACAAATCATTGTATTCTCGCATTAATTTTACACCGCGTTCAGCAACATCGTTCACAACAGGGAAATTATTTACAGCGTTCAAACAGGTCTGACAATTTATATTTTCTTGCTAGTTTTCACAATCATCTTTCAACCAAGTTGTATTCAAACACAGTTTAAGAAAGAAATTTATTGAAAAAGGATTAACGAACTGTTCTAATCCTTGCCCGGGAAAAAATGATCAGATCTGATCAGATATGAACAGGCATGAGTCTTCAGGTCTGATCAGATATGAAAAATGACCGGGTCTGATCAGACCTGGCCAGGCATGTTCATGTCTGATCACCCTGCATGAATAGAAAAAAGTATTGAGACAAAGAAAAAAGTATTGAAAAGTATTGGATTGACTAGAAAACCAATACTTTTCAATACATTTTTCTTTGTCTCAATACTTTTATTTTATCAGGGCAGATCTGTTCATGTCTGACTCGATCAGTTCCATAAAAAAAAAAGATTGGTGCCGACGGGGATTCAAACCACGTACGTTGCGCTCTTCAGACTGATACTTTACCTATTGACCCAATGACTCATCTTAATTCTAGAGTACCTTTTAAACTACTTTAAGTAATTTAAATTTTATACATGACTTATCCTTATAGCTGACGAAGTTCTATACTTAATTTATTAATTATTAATAATTAACTATACACAGTAAAAAATTTCGCGTCATAGCGTCAAAAAATTTTGTG